CTCAATGGACATGGATGTGAGCAAACTCCCAGAGTGAAGGACAGGAAAGCCTGGCATGCTGCAGTCCATGGGGTCACAGAGTCGGACATGACTGAGTGACTCGACAACAACAAAATTGGAAGGGACCGTTTCTCTCTCTTTGCTGAGTCCTCTGTTCTTATTTTAAAGTAATTGGACTTGAGGGAAGAAGAAAATCTCCCCACAGAGACTGTAAGTCCATTAGATAAATTATCTGTTGTAGATTTCTTTGACATTCCAAATCTGAAGGCATCAATCCTTGACATGTGGTGTACTCATTTCCTGGGGTTTCCATAACCAATGACCACAAGCTGCAGTCCTGGACCAGAAGGCCCTGGTCAGGGTGTCAGCAGGCTGTGCTCTCTGGAGACCCTGACGGAGCCTCAGCTGTGCCTCCAGGCTCTGGTGCTGCAGGCGACCTTGGTGATTCAGGTCCTCACAGGACATCCCTCAGTCCCCTCCTCCGACTCATGTGACCTTCTCCTCCTGCGTCCCACTGCTCACTCCTGGAGGCCCCAGGGTGATTCTGTCTTGAGATCCTTAAGCTCATGATATCTGATAGACTCTTTTCCCAAACAAGGTCACATTCCAAGGTTCCAAATGCATGTATCTTGGGAGCATGGGCACCATCTTAGCCTCTACACTTGGCTGCATCACTCACTCATCAGTTAAACCATCACTTACAAAGAGATCGCTTCCCTGGTGGCTCAGATGGTAAAGAATCTGCCTGCATTACAGGAGACCCAGGTTCAATCGCTGGGTCAGGAAGATCCCCTGAAGAAGGGAATAGCAACCCACTGCAGTATTCTTGCCTGGAGAATCCCATGGACAGAGGAGCCTGGTGGGCTACAGTCCACGGGGCCGTGAAGACTGGGACGTGACTGAGCGGCGGACACTAAGGAGAGAACCAGAGTGAAGGCCCGGGACTGGAAAGACTTTAGTGATCTGACCTCATCTCACAAATTCAGTCACTGTCGAAATGATCGCTCGCAAGGACAGGAGAGTTTGAATGACTGCATTTTACAAAGACATGTAACTTCATCATTTTGAGCTCTGGAGAACAGATCTAATGAGCCCAGAGGTCATTTTCCTGCTGTGACCTGTCCTGGCATCTTTCCACACTGAGAGAGTGCTGTCCATCACCTCAGAGGGACCGCCCTCACCTGGCCCAAGGTGACACTCAGAGGTATCACCTGCCAGATGATTGCCCCAGGGAGGCATCACTGATGGAAATGCCATCACAGATCTGAATGCCAAGCAGGGATCTTCTTGCCTTGACACACTCATGCATTTTCTCTTAAGGGACAGTAAGGATACAGAACTGGCTGTCTTTGCTTTTTCTACCAAGAGGCTCAGAGCTGATTCTGTGGCCCCAATTTGGTGCTGATCCTGGTGGCTCAGATGGTAAAGCATCTGTCTACAATGTGGGAGACCCGGGTTTCATCCCTGGGTCGGGAAGATCCCCTGGAGAAGGAAATGGCAGCCCACTCCAGTACTCTTGCCTGGAGAATCCCATGGACAGAGGAGCCTCGCAGGCTACAGTCCATAGGGTTGCAAAGAGTTGGACACGACTGAGCAGCTTCACTTTCTTTCAGGACTCAAGGCCTAAAGAGCTTCTTTCCCGTCTTCTCACCGGTCTGAGTTCTGATTTCAATGGCTTTTCCCCAGATTCTAACTGATGGTTTTATTGATTAATATATTTTCTTCTAAACTACTTCAGACTTTGTGGAGTGAATTAGGGACTGAATGAATGGCTGGCTGGCTGACTGGTTGCATAATGAACAATGAGATGATTGGATGGATAAATAACTGCATGGATGCTTGTGTGGATGAATGATTTGGTGGGTGGATGGATAGCTTGATGGGTATATGGTGAATGGATGAAGGATGGGTAGGTGGATGGATGGGTGGATGGGTGTGTGGATGGATCGGTGGGTGAATGGATGGGTGGCTGAATGTACGGTTTGGACGAACAGATGAAAGAATGGCTATCTTACAGGAAGAGGGTATTTTAAACCCATATGGATATTTGAATAAACTTTAATAAATATTAATATCAAAAACAGAATTACAGCTATTGATCTAAAACTTGTCAAAACAGAATGTTTCCAGCTGCTATAATTCGTTGATTATTTTTTGCATAATTCAAACAGTTTTCTCTTCATTTTTATTTTTACTGAAATTTTGTGGGAATTGGGTGTCTGGGCACTACTTTTACAACAAATATCTAGTTCAACAGTCAGCTTGACCACACAAGATTCTGCCAATTATACCAAAAATAAGCACTGGCTTTGCTTTGTAAATGTAGTATTTCTACACAGACCAAGTTTTTCTAGTTAAATTTCATGAAAATGATCACCATTCCCTTCTCTGTGTGGAGTTTTATTCTTTGCCACATTTATTTTGTGTTATTTCTACCAGCAATTTTCAGTATGAAATAAATAAAATGGGCAGTCCATATGTCTCTCTTATTTTAAAAGAAAATTGTGAGAAATTCCTCTCACGTATTCTAGAGTTACTTGTGGTTCAGGATTTGTTTACACTGATGCCAGATTTTCTGGCGGTTTTCTTTTGGGGGAGGTAGGGGGAAGAGGTTATTTGTTTGTTTGGCCTAAAAGCAAATTGAGGGGTTAAGACAGGGGTTGGTGCATTAAGGTTAGCAGGCAGGTCAAGGGGTCCCATGGGACTTGCCGGGAGCTGAGTCAGGGGGCCTGACCCCCAGGGAAGAAGGGGGTTCCTATTCATTCCTTGTTCAGCCAGGCCACCCCCACCAGGGTGGGTCTGGGAAGGATGACTCCCAGAGGCAGGAACCGTTGACCTCTCCCCCCAACACCCCCCACTTCTGTCTGCATGTCACCCTGACGTCCTTCACCTGTCCCGGGGCCTCTCTTGGGCCCCCTCCCCACGCTCAGAGCTCCCCCTCATCTCTGCAGGAAACTCGGCAGGCCTCATCAGCCTTAGACACTGATTTTTCCTGATCTGGACTTTTCCCCGAGAACTGACCGACCATCACACCGCGCTCCACACCCACACTGGAAGGGGGACTGGAGAGCTGGACTGCACCTTGCTGGGAGCAGTGGTGACCGACAGCAGCAGGGGGGTGTGTCCGAGGGGGCCCACTCCCCAGTGCCGCCTCCCTGCAGACTCCCTCCTTCCTTCTGCCCTGCTCCTGCTCCTGCAGCCCCGAGTGCCAGGCCAGAGAGCCTTCGCCTATGGGACCCCATCGCCTCCCACGTGGGTTTCTCCTGGTCCGCACTTTCCAGGGGAATCTAGAAGTCATTCTTGGGGTCTCCCGAGACTGAAACGTTTTACACCAAAGCCTGTAGCAGTGCTTCCAGCCACAGTGGCTTTGCGTGAGCTTGGCGGCCTCCAGATCGACCCAGCCTGCTGCTTTCTGGGCCCTGGGCTCTTCTGGGACAGACCCCGAATGTCTGCGTGGGATGTAATCCTGGGAGAAGCTGGAGAGGGTGGGGGTGCGGGGCTGGGTGGGAGGGAAGGAAGCAGAGGGCACGACCTCCCCAGGGATACTGGGTACCCTTCCACCTTCATCCTCGAGAGTGGGGCAACCCCAAAGAGGCCAGGCAAGATAGGCTCCAGCCCAGTTGCTGGTGGCACGGGGGATGGGGGGGCGGGGAGCCATGGAGAGTGGAGGTAAAGGAAGTGGCTCCCAGGGACAGAGTCAAAAAACCCTTCACGTCTGGGGGACACGTGCCCTGGGCCTAAAGACGAACAGTTTCACTGGAAGAGCCTCCTAGGCGGGGCCTTCCTGCACAGAGAGCTACGACGTGCAGAACAAGGAGCCAGGAGTCAGAGAGCTCCCCCGGGTCTCCACAGCGTCACTGAGGAGGCCTAGCAGGACCTGCACACATTTCCTTAGCATCTAGAGAGCAAGCATCGCCAGCTCTGAGGGCCACAAGGCCTCCTTTGCAACCAGCTCAGAAGCAGCCACAGGCAAAGAGCGGGCAGATGGGGGCAGCCTGTGCCAATAAAGCTTTATTCACACACAGGCAGCGGCAGGCCAGGGTCTGCGCATGCCTGCCCTGGAGACCTTGGGGCTCATCCAGGGAGCAGTGCGAAGAGGTCAAGGGTCCCTCCAGCTCTCTGAAGAAGAAGCAAAGAGTCACTGGGACGTGGGTCCCCAGGGAGCTCCGGACTGCATCGAGGGCGCTCTTGCCGTGAGACGACCTTGGTGGCTATTAATCACAGGGACGAGCCTGGCAGCAGAAACCTGGCCTGGGGACAGCGCTGGGGACAGCCCGGTGCGGCGCTCGGGATGAAGATAATGACAGAGTGATGCAAAGAATGAAAATTTATCTCCCGCTCTTTCTCAGGCCTGTCTGGGTGTAAAAGGCACTCGGGTGCAGCACCTATGATTCATGGCTGGGGCACTCTTCTGTGGAGTTCCCTAAATATTGTGTAGCCGGTTTTGACTTGGAAATGCAGTGTTTGAAATATCTTCACTTGACCAAGAGGCCCCCAGTGACATTAGAATAATGATGATGGCATACTCCGCATTTCACTAAGAAGTGCGTTGGAATAATACCGCTCACGTTGGTCTGGCCCAGAAGGTGATTTAGGACTGAGGCTCCGACTGGGGAGAGATGGCGGCGGGCCTCCGCCTCCCTCCCAATCAAAGGCCCAAGAGAAAGAGTGTTTCATTTTTACCGCGGCTTTTCCATCTGCAGGGAGCCTTATTTCTCCTTTACACGTTTTCGGAAACCCTGCTGTGGGCTAGATTTACAGAGTGGAGAGAAGCCCCTGGGAGCCGGAGCGGGACACCAGACCCGGCGTGTTTCTCCCGCGGCCGAGCCGAGCACACGCTCCCCTGACGTTTCTCTTGGCCGAAGCCTCTCTGGATACACGACGAGGCTGGAGTCGGGGTGCCAAGACTCCAGACCGAGCGCGAACCACTCTCGGGGTCCTGCCTTCAGCGGTCAGACGTAGGCTTCATTATCCACTGTTTCCTCTGCTCCTTTCCGCAGCGCCCTTCCCGGCGCACATGGTTGCTCCCGGGATCCCAGGGCCAGGGAGCGCGCCCACCTCCGCCAGCCCGACCCGGCCCTGCAGCTGACCCAGCGGGAGGAGCCGGCGGTGCCCAGACAGACGGACAGTGGCTGGTCCAGCAGGAAGGTCGGGCAGGGAAGGGGGCAGGAGTACAGGGCCACGTGGATAACCAAGGTCTTCCTGGAGGCGGCCCTTGAACCCAAGGCAGGAACGCTGAGAGTGCAGAGGGGTGACGCCCAGACAGCAGGGGAGCAGGTGAGGCGGGGCAGGGTGTGCACGACATGGGGGGACAGAGTGGGGAGCGGGGTGAGGAGTGGGGGGCGGGGCGGGGAGCGAATGACACTGGGGGGGCAGAGTGGGGAGTGGGAGGCGGAGTGGGGAGTGGGGGGCGGGGGCGGAGTAGGGGGCGCCGGGGAGCTGTGGGGCGGGTCCCTGAACGTGGAGGGACCCTGGTCTCAGGGGCTCTTTGCGGGGGGAATCTGAAGGTTCTCAGAGAGGACCAGGCCCACGGCAGGTCTGGGGTGTCTCCTGGCAGTGACATTTTACCGGGGCCCGAGGCTGATGCGTGTGTGGATGTTCTGGGGACACTCCCCTGGACGTGGCCCCGTGTCTGGAGAGCCCGCGTCACAGGACGTTGAGTCGTGGGTCCCCAGCCTGGAAGGGAGCAGCCTTCGGCCCACAGCAGCCAGATGCAGAGGGACACGGGCTGCCCCCTCCCCTAGAGCAGACGGACAGTGTCTGGGAGGACCACATCCTGCTCCATGAACAGACCCCAGGGAGCGGGCCGGGAGCTGGCGGGAGGCGGCCACGTCCTGGAACCTGGGTCTTGGGGGCCCTCCAGGACCTGAGCGGGTTCTTGCCAGGGCTCAGAAAAGGAGGAGGGTGATGGGAAAAGGGAAGGACTAGGAGGGAGGTGGGTGGAGGGAGTGAGTCGGCGTGGGCGGCTTCAATGCACAAAACCCCAAGCGTTTCCCCTGCTCCCTGTCTGCCCTCTGCCACCTTTGGAGGGAACCCGAGTCCAAGACACAGCTGAACTTGGAGGGTCCTTCTGCCCAGGGGCCATGAGGTGCCACCCTGGGTTTTTCCGCCCACCACCCCCTCCCAGCAGTGCCCGAGCAGTGGTTAGGAGTGGTGCCTCGGTGGCAGGCTGGCTACAGGAGGTGGACGGTGGCCCACAGCCCTTGGCGGCAAGTGCATGGGGCTGGGAGGTGGGGGGCCTCGGGTGGGCTTGTCCTGTGCTGAGTCTGCATAGGGCCCACAGCCTTCCTCCTGCAGAACCCATCCCTCCTGAGCGGAGGTAAGACCGCCATGGAACGGACGGAGCCTCAGGAGATGACGGAGGTGCGGGCCAAGGGGAGGGAGTCATCAGACAGATGGGAGGAGACACTGCATCATCCGCGGCTTGGCAGGTCCCCGCACACGTTCCAGCGGCTCCCAAAGCACCAGGGACACGGGAAGGCCTCACGTGAACGCGGTGAGGCTGCCACATGGGGCGACCTGGGCCCTGGAGCTACCCAGCCAGGTATCAGGAGGGCCGGGTGGGCAGGGGTGTGCCCCAGAGCTTTGCATCCACTGCTCTGTGGCCTTGGCATCCCACCCCGGTCCCGCGAGGGTCTGGGGTCTGGGAGGCAACACCCAGGACTGCGACCCGGGGCCACCTGCCCCCCAAGAGTGGGTTTCCTGGAACGGGGGCGTCGGCAGAACCATGAGCAGCACAGCAAACAGAAGCAGCGGCCCACATCCGTCACGCGGAGTAATGAGCTGGATTTATAGAAAAGGAAACACAATACAATCCGCGTAATGGCTGTTGACAGAGATCTGGGCTGTTTGTTCTAGGATATTAAATTGACAAACAGCAAGGGTTCGCCGGGCTCCCGTCTCTGATTTGCAGGCTCCTGTTGAAAGGTGTGTGCGTGGCTGCACCAATCAGAGGACGAGGCTGACCCGGCGGGATGAGGAGGGCCATCCTGGAGGCCTCTGCTTGCAAACACCTCCCAGAGCCCGCGCCCCGGAGGAGCAGCTCACCAAGGAAGCAGGGTGGAAATGACACTGCTTGGTTCCCAGAGAAAGCAGGCCACATTTTGAAAAATTTAATTAAGACCCGAGATCAGGTTTGGGTAATTAGATTCAGGCTGTGAGTAAGCGTGGTGATGGATGGGCAGGGCATCATCGCTGACACCCAGGAGGTGAGACGCAGCCCCCAACAGCCCCCACCGCCTGAATTCTGCATCTCAGGTGTGAAGGATGCTCCCGACACTCCTGCTGCTTTGCTTTGGGTTGCTTTTTAGGAAGAATGTCCACTGGGCGCAAACAACCTACAGAGGAAGAGAGGGAGGGGAAAGGCGAGCCGTTTTTCCTGACCACCTCACGCGCTCTCTCAGCACCTCTCCCCACTCGGGTCTGTCCTGCAGATCATCCCTGTCCTGGCGGGAGGTGGCCCGGAGGGTCAAGAGCCCCCAGGGGGACTCCGGGCAGGCTGCAGAGATGGGCCGCGTGCCTGGAGGGCCTTCCATCAGTAGGTAACGGACTCTTAGCAGGAGAGATCCAGTTAGATGGGAAATCATTGCTTCCACCGTAATTTACTTAAGGAAATGGAAAAGGTGAGCAAAAGACCCTGGCGAGGGGGTGAGTTTTGACGGAAACAGGAAGATGGCACCTGGTCTCTTAAAAGAGAAAGAACACATGTCGGGGAGAAGGAAGAGGGACAGGGCAGAGTCACCGGCAGGAAGGTGGAGGGGGGAGAGGCAGGAGGGCAGAGGTGGACCGGCCTCAGGACAGTGGACAGGTGGACAGGAAGCCTGCCTCCGTGGGCGCAAGGCCCCTGAGACGCCTCGGGGCCCAGGGGAAGCCTGTGCTGGGGTTTGGAGCCCTCCCCGGTGGCTCGGGGCTTGTGCAGCTGTGGGAAGCCTGATGGGCACCTCTCAGGAGCAGAGGACAGCTGTGATCAGCTTCACGGGAGCAGCGAGAAAGGATGTGAGCAGAGAGACACTCTCCCAGCGAGTTCCAGGACAGGGAGAGGTGAGCGGGGAAAGGCAGGCAGGGAGCCCGACCAAACCCCTCTGGCCCAGCGAGCTTCAGAGTCACCCATGTCTGCCCTCAGGTAAACCGAAGCCGGTCTGAGAAGTGTGAAAGGGCTCAGGGACAGACGGTTAGAAACAGTAGAGTCTGCAATTAAAGACCCTAGGCAATTAACAACCAACAAAGGGTCCTTTGCTGCAGCGATTCTCTGACCCCAACAGGAGGTGGAACAGCGTCCTCTGGAACACGCACCTGCACGCAGCCTTCTAAGGCCGCGTGGCCACCTAATCCTAGGAGTCCTGAGAAAGCATCCAGCGAGGAGGCTCCACAATCGACCTGGGTTTTACAGACCAAAGGGCGTTCCAAGAGCCTGAGGGACTGTTCCACCCGGTGGGTTAGACTCACACTCTGCAACAGCGCTTAACCCTCAGCGGTGCTGAACAGAAGCCCAGAGCCAGTGTTTCCATACTTGATTCACCCCAAGGTGCCCTCTCTGAACCTCTGGGCGGACCCTTCCCGCCTCCCTCTCTCTCCCTCTCTCCCTCTCCCTCTCAGCCCCTCTTAGAAGCAGGCCCTTTCTCCTGTTTTGCTGGGAGTCATGCCGGACGGGTCCACACCCTGACTACAAACTCCAACCGGCCAGAAGAGTTGCTTGGTCACACACTCCCTCCACTGGAGCAGACAGGCCCCGACGCCATCAATGCCCAGAGCAAGGCCCCCCAGACCCTCTCGGCGAGAGGAGCCTTTCGCAGGACCGCAGGAAACCCCTGTTGAGGGCACGAGTTTCTTTCCAGAAAGCAGCCCGGGGAAGCCACCTCCCCATCCCTGAGCATGCTCGGTTGCCGGGTGATTTATGGTTGCATTATTCCTAAATCTCCACAAAGATGTAAACAGGGTGATTGTGCCTCCGTAAGATATTAATAACTTAATGAGTCTGTGCTATTTGTTTATGTAAATGGATAATGGAATCTCTACAGGGGCCAAATATGATATTACAGTCTGGTGATTCGATGACTGTTATCTCACACACACACACACACACAGTGTGCTCTGGAGGAACTAGTCCTAAGCACGAACAGGGTGGCCACAGCTCACACTTCCTTCCAGGGATCTGGGAAGAGTCAGGGTTGAAGACGCCCTGCAGGCCCCAGAGGAGTGGGCACTGGACACTTCTTCCCTCCTCTCCCTCCCCCTCCTCCCAGGAAGCTCCCAGGCCTTCGCACCCCCGGCCCTGTCCTCAGCTGGATGGGCCTCGCGTGTGTCCCCAGCCCTGGACCATCCTCCTCTCCCTCTGGACAGTGCAGTTGGACAAGCACCCACATCCTCCCCATCAGATATAACTGGCCTCTGACCCTCTGCGCTGCTAAAGGGTGACCCCACCCCCAAAACTGCAAACCCAGGGCCTCAGAATGTGGCTGTGTTTGCAGATGGGCTTTGAAGACATAAATAGGTTACAGTGAGGTCGTGTGTGTCCTGATGCTCTGGTGGCCGGTCCTTACAAAAACAGTAGGTCAGGACACAGACATGCACAGGGCGCCCGTGTGAGGACAGGGCGTCCGGGCGCGGACGTGCACGGGGCGTCCGCGGGAGGACGGGGCGCCCGCGGGAGGACGGGGCGTCCGGGCTTGGACGTGCACGGGGCGCCCGCGGGAGGACGGGGCGCCCGCGGGAGGACGGGGCGTCAGGGCGCGGACGTGCACGGGGCGTCCACGTGAGAATCGGGCACAATCCCTAACTTCCAGCAGGAGGGTATCAGGAGAGGGGGTATCTTTGGGCAGCTACCAGGTCATGAGGGTGGGCCCCCACATCGGGATTAGTGACCAGGTCATGAGGGTGGGCCCCCACAGGGGGATTAGTGTGCCGAGTCCCACGGGAATGAGGTGCCACGTCCCACTCTCCCTCTGCACGAGAGGACAGCTTCCTTTCCCAGCACTGCGCCTGCTCGGAGTCAGCCCCGTCCCCACACTTGCCACCGCTGCCCTAGCAGAGATGTGAGGGCGCTGTGTTCTGGTGCCTCTGGCCTCACCGAGGGGTGTGCACTCAGGTCCGAAGGGCTGTCTCCACCCTCAGGAGCCTACAGGCCACAAGCTGGTCCCTCTGATCACCAAGTCGTTGTCCCCCCAGAGCTGGGAGGGGAAGATGGCTGGCAGGGCCATCTGACAGCCTCTGGCTCCATCCAAGCTAAGCCTGGTGGGGAGGTGAACTCACCACCCCCTCCTCTCGAGGTCTCAGGCTCTGCAAAGCTGGGTGGCAAGGATCCGACCAGGGCTCCGTGTGTCCACCCCTCCCGTATCTCCATGCCCCCCTCACCCCGAGTCTTGGGACTCGCCTCCCCATCCTATCCACCCCGCCCCTCCCCCCCCCCACGCCGTCTCCCACCTCCTGCCCACCTGCGTGAGGACATTAACGCGCATCCTTTCCGCGTCCTTCTCTTCTCTTGTTTTCTCCTGTTTATTCGTGAGCTGCCGTGTGAAACAGTTACAGTTCAGATTTCTGCTGTGGATAAACAAATACAGAAAATTAGCAGATGTGTTTTGCAGATGCACTTCACAAAAATAACCTCCTCCTGATGAGTAGGAGCGTTGGGAGGCTGAGCGGTGTGGGGCCCTGAGCACCGCTGGGCTCCCTTCCCGGCTTTGATGGGAGGAACCTGAGATGAGGGGAGGGGCAAGGACCCGCCAAGCCCGGAGCTGATGGCGGGGAGGGGCAAGGACCGGCCAAGTCCGGAGCTGATGGCCGAGCCTGCTGTGGGCACAGGAGAGGGTGTCCGGGCGGGCACAGAAGCTGCGGCCTGGTGGGACAGGAGGGCAGCAGCCACAGCCTCGGGGCTGCGGCTGGACCAGTGGCTGCGAGGTCCCCGGGAACCCCGGGGGTGGGGGAGAGGGGAGACGGAAGACCTGGAAGAGGTTGCCAAAGTCAGGTGTCAGGGCATCTGGGGGACTCGGGCCAGCAGAGCTCTGACCCCAGGAATGCCAGCAGGGACAAGAGCCTGAAAGCGTCCCTGAGGAGGCAGGACACGCCCCCTGTGACATGCAGCCCCGCGGCACACCATCTCTCAATTCAAGATGCCCCGGATCGTGGGCAGCTAACCTCACAGTCCTGAGAGACAAAGGACACAGGGGGGTACCTGGAAACACCCACAAACACCCACCTGCACGCAGAAATGCAGTCACCTGTTTGTGCGCGCGCGCACACACGCACACACACATGCACACGCTAGTTCTCCCCCAGCCTCCACGGTGTCCTGCAGGTGGTGAGTGAACGGAGCCTCCTTCACATGCAGGCCTGGTCCTGGGAGGAAGCGCTCAGTACAGATTCTATTTCTTCTTCCATGAAAGGATCACAGCCTCCCAGGGATAATTTAATTTGCCTTTTCTTTCAGGAGTGACTGCTACACAGAGGAGCTTTTCTTCTCGTCTAATTTTACCCCCAAATAAAATAAAAGACTCAAAGAATATTAGAACTGCTTCAACCCCATCACCTGATACCTGGGGAGAGACAGGAATGGTATAGGCCTTCTGTTCAGGAGCAGGGGGTGGGGGAGGAGGGAGACGAAGGACACAGAGGGATGGGGAGGGGTCCCAGGGATGGAGTGAGATTCAGGGAGGGGGGCGGAATTCAGGGGTGGAGGAGCAGGCCCAGGGATGGGGTGGGACTCAGGGATGGAGAAGGGGCCCAGAAGCAGGGTGAGGACCCAGAGTCGGGGTGGGGGTCCAACAATGGTGGGTGCTCTTGGGGCTCCCACATTCCCTGGGGACCACCTGTGTGCCAGGTGGTAGCCTGTGTAAAGGATAGGGGGCTCTGGATACCCTCTCCATTCTCGGGAGGGAAGGAGGCTGCCGCAGAACCCACCCCAGAGTGCCAGTAGCTGGCCGCTTGCAGCGAGATCTAGCAGACAGGCTAGGACCTAACAGGCTCCAGGTGACACCCGGGGTTTGTGCTGAGTGCCGGCTCTCCTGGAGTCCAGAGTTTGGGAGTCAGCCAGGTGAGACCAGCCCTGCAACACACCCCCGGGGCAGGAGCCCCTGACGGGTTCCCCTGGCAGACAGCACCTCGCACTTGAGTCACAGCTCAGCAGTGGGCGCTGAGCACGTCCTGGGTGGCTCTCCTGGCTGGACCCTGGTGCCGGCTCTGATCCACGGGCTCCAGCTGTGCACCCTCCCTCTGACGCTCTGTCTTGTTGCCCTGACACGTCTTAGCTGTGAGGACTGCACGCTGAGTCTTACGGGTCCTTCCAGGCAATCATGGAGCCTGGGGTGGTCCTTGGGACCCTGACACGTGCTTCAGTGGCTCAGAGGGAAATGACAAGGTTCCAAGAGGATGAAGTCTCGGGCCAGCCCCTCAGGGTGAATGATGGCAGGCGGTGAGGCTCACCTCGACGGGCCCTCCTGTGTGCCCGTGGGCTGGTCCAGCCCTGGGGCCACTGGCTGATGTGTGTCTCGTGTCTGTGATCCTTGGGACTTTGCGCAGGTCTGTAGCCTGCTGTTTCCTTTAGCATTGCCTAGAAACAGTGATAGACTTTTTCTTGGGCTCCAAAATCACTGTGGACAGTGACTGCAGCCGTGAAAGGAAAAGATGTGTCCTCCTTGTAAGAAAAGCTGTGACAAACGTAAGATAGCGTATTAAAAAGCAGAGACGTCACTTTACCAACAGAGGCCCGCCCAGTCAAAGCTCTGTTTTTCCAGTAGTCATGTGTGGATGTGAGAGCTAGACCGTAAAGAAGGCTGAACACCAAAGAACTGACACTTTTGAACTGTGGTGTTGGGGAAGACTCTGGAGAGTCCTAAAGGAAATCAACCCTGAATAGTCATTGGAAGGACTGATGCTGAAGCTAAAGTTCCAATACTTTAGAGCTGACTCATTGAGAAAGACCCTGATGCGGGGAAAGATTGAAGGCAGGAGGAGAAGGGGACGACAGAGGATGAGATGATGGGATGGCATCACTGACTCGATGGACATGAGTTTGAGCAAGCCCTGGGAGCTGGCGATGGACAGGGAGACCTGGTGTGCTGCAGACCATGGGGTTGCAAAGAGTGAGACACGACTGAGCGACTGAACAACAACCCAAACATCTGCACTCATCGTTCGAACTCTTTTAAAGACGTAACTGTAACAGCTGCTTTAGGATCTTCAGAGTATAACTGAACGTTGTTGCTGGCCACTCGTTCACCTAACAAAAATTATATTTTCCAGTGCTGTTCTTGCAGAAAAGAAAGTGGCCAGTCCAGACCCCACGGTCCCGGGCGCACGTCCAGGGATGGGGAAGGTGACAAACAGGTGGACAGAGAGGATAAAACAATAGGACACAGACATAAACCAGGAAACACTGAGGCCATGGTCGTTTTTCCTGCTAAGTGTCGATTAGTATTAATACCTTTGTGTGAACATCTCTGAGTTCATCTCAGATCAGGTCCTGAAGATAAATTCCCAGACAAGAAATTACTGGCAGAGAAGTGTGAGTGTTTATGGCTCAGCACACACTGATCCGGAAACTCGAGCAAGGTTTCACTCTCCAGAGGCCTCTCCAGGTCAGCAACTCCACGCTGAGAGCCTGCTTTGCTGTTTTCACCTGGGCCCCGGGGTTCCTCTGGGCCTGGGGGTGCTCGTGTACCCCAGTTGCCCGCCATAGTCTCTGCTGCAACAATGCGCTGCTTTGGACTCACAGGTTCACAGATCTCCACGGGGTGGCGGTGGCCGGACCGCCCCCAGAAGGAAGTGGAATCCACGTTCCCTGTGCTCCGCATCCCAGCCCTCAGGCCCCTTGATCTCCCTGGGAGAGGCCGCCGCCGAGGACCACGTGTCCTCCTTTCAGGAGCGGAGGGGCACCGTTCTGCGGCCCCCGTGGTCCTTTCGCGGTAGAATCGCCCCTCCCGGCCTTTTCTCCTCTGTGTTCACGGAGGAGCGCCGGATCGCACCACGTTTAAGTGCAGCTGACGCGAAGGACACGTGTGCCGGCAAGCGATCACAGACCCCTCCCGGCTCCATCCGCCTCAGGAGGGAGCACGTGCGTGCGCCAGGCGTTCTCCCCGAGGTGACTTTTTAAAAAGTAAAACACAATTCACGGACGCCTCGTCCCCGCTGTTTGATGTTCACGAGTAGGTGCCGTCTCTCTGCCGCAACGTCTTAACGCGTCCCAAGGCTCGTCGTCATCGGAGGCCCGGAGAACAGACGATGAACCTGTGATGACACGGCCGCTGGGGCCCCGGCGGCCGCACCGGCCGGGTCACTGCCTTCTCCGAGGATGCGCTCGGTTTCGGGAGGATGCTCCTGCACCCGCACCTCATCGGGTCCCGGGGCAGCCGCACGCGCAGCCCACCCGCTTCCTGCTCGCCCGCCGCCCTCTCCCCCAGCACAGACCTCCCCTCCCGGCCGGCACAACGCTGTCCATGTGGCATGGGGAGCTGGTTTCTCACTGGCCACGCTGTGAGGGGCATCAGTGAAGATTCCCACCTGCTGCCCCCGACCTGCTCACCGTGCCCCCGTGGGAGCCCCTCCCCTAGCCCTTCTGGCCCCCTGAAAAGATACGCTGATTGACAGAGAGGCAGGGAACGTGGGCGTCCAGGCTTGGTTACCAGCTGAGAACCTTTTCTGCCCTCTGGAAAAAGTGTGTGAACTTGGCCTCCAGTAATTAAGCCGGGTTGACTTGAAGGTTAAAAGAACAGCCTTTGTCCCAAATCTGTTGGTAAACCCTGGGATGGTGCAGTCCCCGTTCGCAGCCCCTGGGTGTGGGCTTGCATTCTGCTGCGTGCTCTGGGATCCGCCAGCTCCAGCTGCCGAAGTGCAGATCCAAGGCCCGTCCGTGGTCTACATGGAGTTTCTGCACCTCAGCCTTGAGACACGGGGTCGGGCGGGCCGCTCTCTATGCCGGGCACTCCCGAGCACTGCAGGCCTGTGGCTCCCTTGGTCTCCGTCCACTGGGGGCCAGTGGCGCCCTCCAAGTCTTTTTTTTTTAATTGTATTTATTTATTTTTGACTGTGCTGGGTCTTCATTGCCACTTGTCCTTTCCCCCGGTTGCAGTGTGGGGGCGTCTCATTTTGGGGGCGTCTGGTTGCAAAGCATAGGCTCTGGGACAGGCAGGCTCAGCAGTTGTGGCTCACAGGACTAATTGCTTCACCACATGTGGGATCTTCCTGGATCAGGGATCGAACCTGTGTCCCCTGCATTGGCAGGCAGATTCCTAACCCCTGGACCACCGGGAAAGCCCACCCTCCAAGTTTGGATGACCCAAGATGTCTGCAGACATTGCCACTTGCCCCAGGATGGAGCAGATCAGTCCCAGCTGAGAGCCCTTTCCAGGGGCATCACCTCTTCCTCCGAGTGGGGGGTGCAGCTTGCTCCACCCTGGCTCCTGGCCGATCTCCCCGTGCCTGCGTCCTGGGCACTTGCCACCTCGATAGCATAGCTAAGTTGGAGCTGTCCCAGTTCCTGGCACAGGGCCTGGACCAGGGAGTGCTAACGTGCGTGTCCCTCCCCTTCAGGCATGGCCTTCCCACCCCTAACCTCCATGTAGCTCCACCCACACCCGGAGCTGTTCAGGCTGCTCCCAGGCACCTCACAGGCACCCACTGCGGCCCCCAGCGCCCCTCACCTGTCTCCACCCCCCAACCCTGGGAAATCTGGGGGAGAGACCCCAGCGAGAGGTCTGGGCCAGGCCGGGGGGCTATGAGGGGAGGGGCCTGTACTTCCTGTGGACACGGTCAGTGAGGGCCTGTGGGGGGAGCTCCCTGGGGGATTCACATTACTGGGGGCTTCCCTGGTGGCTCAGAGGTAAAGAATCTGCGTGCAAGCTGGGAGACTTGGGTTCGCTCCCTGGGTCCGGAAGGTCCCCTGGAGGAGGGAGTGGATACTCACTCCAGTATTCCTGCCTGGAGAATCCCATGGACAGAGGGGCCTGGTGGATACAGTGCATGGGGTCGCAAAAGAGTTGGACACGACTGAGAAACTATCCATTTCACTTCGCGTTTTGGGGCCCTCACCCATTAACTACTCCTCCCTGCTCCTGAATTACCGCCTCAGTCTCCCTGCAGGTTCGGTGACCACCCCTCTTAAAGGTGAGGAAGGGGCGGCCCCACATGGCCCCACCACCCAGAAAGGGAGGAGCCAGGCTCAGGGGGCTTCCTCATCCCTTCCTTCCTCCGCCCCAGCTGCTGTGCGCAAGCCTCAAGGCCTGAGCCACAAGTCCAGCGCCACCCCACACCGGACACACTCTGCTGGATACATGGTGGGCAGAGCGGCCCTTCCCGCCTCAACACAGCTCCAGGCTCTGTCCCTGCAGCCTCGTGAGCTGGGCTGTGCTCTGCAAACAGCTGGGAGACCCCTCCCACGGGACAGAGGAACATGTGACATTGGGGTGCAGTGACTGTTCTGCTCCCACCGGCTCCCCCGGAGGAGGGACCTGACCGAGCGGCCGGCCACTCCAGGTGGGGCCAGGTGGCTGCGGTGGAGGAGGGGAGAAGGCTGAGGCCAGGGCGGGAGGGAGACCGGCGCTGCCCTCCGGGATCCCCCACCCAGGCCATCATCCGCCCTCTCCATGTCTCTGGGGGGCCTCGGGGCTCTCCGGGTCTGGTGCCAGGTGGTTGGGAGCGTTGGCTGCGGGTAGTTTGGGGCCGGTGTACACTTTTTTCATGCAAATAAGCAATAGTCATAAAAAGGAAAATTGCATTTGCTCTGAGTGGGCAGGAGATGCGTTTAAGTTAGGGAGACGAATGCTCTGGGTGCACGGCTCCAGCCCAAGAAGACCGACACTAGGAGGCTTTTTCCTGGGCCTGCAGCCGGGCAGAGCTGTGCGTCCTCACCCCCCGGCACTATTTAATGGAAGGCAGCCGGGACCCTGCTCCTGGGGCAGGCACGCTGCCGGTACCAGCAGCGTCATCAGTGCTCTGGACCCGCGGGTCCACCCAGAGCCCCAGGGACACCCGGGTTGGGGGTAGACCAGGGACTCCAGTGCCCACAGCCTCCCAACTCAGATCTCGGAGCCGATGAAGGGACGTGTCCTACGCCACCTGCTGAGTGGGGCTGGTCCTCCCCCAGCACCTCGGGGCTCCCGAGATGAGCCCGAGCAGCAGGTGCTGAGGCGGGTCACAGGGCCCTCTGCTTCTCTGAGCCCCTTCCCAGACCCGAGACCTCTCTCCCCGGGGAAGCTCAACGCTGGGTTCTAAAAATTTACACGATTAATCATAAGTTTCCACCACTGATTTTTTTTTCTTAAATAAGCACTCAAATTTATGGGTGATCATGAAAGTCTCCCATCAGATGAGTCAGAGCCACAGTAACGATGAAGCAGGAATTCTAATGTTCAATGAAACGGCTGACCCCAGCTGAGAAATAAAAAACAGACTCTGTCCCAGCTACACATCTTGAGAGGAGCTCGCCTCCTCTGATTCTTGTGAGCGGCCTCCGTCCTGTGACCGCAGTGGACATACCAGAGGCCGCCATAAGCCCCCATAAGCCCCCACCCCAATCAGCTGAGGCTTCTCGAGGGGCAGAGAGGGGGCCCGAAGGTCAGTTGTGTCCTTCAAGGCAGAGGGGCTGTGACCTCTAACCAGAACCTTGACCCCACCCAGATCCTGCCCCAGTACATGGGGTCTTCATTCTCCTTTAGCTGAGTGTATTAGTCGGGTGTCTCCTGGAAAAGAGACCAGCAGAATATATACACATAAAGAGGTTTATTACAGGAACTGGTTAAGACGTCTCAAGACGTGTAGTCTGTGAGCTGGACGCCAGGGGAGCCAGGGTCGTACTTCTGATCCAAGCTGGTGGCTGCAGGAGCCCAGGGCAAATCTGAGCTGAAGGCAGAAGATGGATGTCCCAGCTCAGGAGACTGGACACTCCCCTCCTCCCCCTTTGGGTCCATGCAGGCCCTCAATGGATTGGATGAGGCCCCCACATTGAGGAGGACCGTCTGCTCTGCAGACAGACATGTCTAGATTGATGTTTAACTCGATACCTGGACACTCGGGGCCAATCTGACATGTAAAATTCACCACTACACAGAGCAGTGCATCCACCCTGGGAAGGCACAGAATGTGGAGACCGGCTCCCGAGGATGCCTCCAGCCCGGGATCCTCACCACACTCAGCTCAGACTGGCCTTGGGGACAGCACGGTCCTCGTGGCCAGAGGTTTCTGGGGCTCCTGTCCCACAAGCTCTACACCAGACACAGCGTGTGCTGTGCACACAACCCAAGATGGTGTGATGGGAGGACTCTCTCCCCGCCGAGAGCTCACGGACACTCGTATGGCTTCCCCTGAGAAACAGGGATGGCATGATGACACAGGGCGGCCAGCGGGATTAGCAAGTGATTGTCTCAGGGACCAGTGGCAGTCGGGTCAGGTCCGGGTCAGCATCCCCCCGTCACACGAACCCACACGTGTGTGAACACAGGCGGCAAGGGTGCCTTTGCTGGCTCTGATTCAGATGTTGTCGGAGATGCTCCGTCTGAATAATACAGGAGCAAAGCCGCTCTTCAGGGGACTGAGAAAGCCCCCGGCCACGTGGTAAAGAGAAGGGGGTGAATCCGCAGGTTCACGGGAGGATCGCGGCACTGACCTGGGTCTGCATCACCACCCCCTTTCCCAGGTGTCAAAGGCTGACCGCCAGAGAGGTCAGGTCCTTTGTCAGAGACGCCCAGGGGCTGAGAGGCAGAGCAGAGGCTGGCCCAGCCAAGGCTACTCCAGACCCTCGGGCACAGCTCTGTGTTGTTCAGTCCCCAAGTCGTGTCCGGCTCTGTGACCCCATGGACTGTAGCCCACCCAGCCCCTCTGTCCATGGGATTCCCCAGGTAAGAGTACTGGAGTGGGCTGCCATGTCCTTCTCCAAAAACTCACCTGGGGCAGTCTGAATTCTAGAGGTCAGAGTTCACTTGAAGGACTATTAGATCCAGGCCACGCAGCCGCAATCACCTGTATCCTTTCTAAATCTGAGCACCGAGGTCAGCAGCCAGCTCTCCGTGGCCAAGAATCCTCCTCCCCCAGCTCCCGTGATCCTGGACCACCCTGCCCGTTGGGGGCTCTGTGCCCCCAGCCTGGACCCCCACCCGTCCT